AAAACAGACAATCAACTACGATTATTACTAGTTTGTACCTATTCAATTGCTGCTACAGTGTGTTTTGGTGAGAGTTGATGATTAGAGTGGGCGGTTGCTGTGGATTACGTCACGTGATGGGCCAAAGTCGGGTCAAAAGAAACGTTGTGGCTCTGATACCAAATTGATGCCGACTGTGATGACAAGAACAATAGAGAGAAAGAAGAAAGTAGGAAGAAAAGAGAATGAGGGAAGATAATAGATTTATTCAATACTCAAAGCTCTCTATTGCAATCCAAAAACCTTAATTTATAGGTTCCAAATAACAATAAAAATGTAAAGTTACAATAAAAAGAAAAAACTAGAATTTCTTTTTGTTTAAAAGGAAACAAATTTATTACTCTACCAAAACAAGAAAAATAATAATGAAAATTCGATCTTTAATTGATTTGATTCCGATTACGCCTAGAATATACTTTCCAATTTGCATCATTAACATATTTAAGTAAATTGAACATTTGATCATCCAAACCAGAAAAAAAAAAAGGAAAAATAAACTAAACATCCTCTGTTAACTTAATTTATAATCTGCAGTCTTGAGTGACAACTGATGAAAGTTAACCAAATACACTAATTAACATAGTCAATCACTGAAAGATTAACCAATTTCAGTCTTCCGTCTCACATACTGACCTTAAAATTATTAAGAATTTATATGATTAATTGATGCAACATGAAAAGAAGAAGAATTCGTGCAAAAGTGGGATCGGAGATGATTTATTTATTTATTATTATTATTATTAATTTTTTTTGGAAGTGTCCATTTTTAAAAATGTTTTTGTATATTTTGAGTGGAAAACGGTCCGGCGAAAGCTCCGAAAATGTGTTTTTCTTTATTTTGGATAATTTTCTTAATTTTAATTAGATTAGGATTTTAATTCCGTTTAAAGTTTGCTTTTATCTTTTATTATTAACGTTATTTAGAATTAATCATTATCTAAGAGTTACTTATTATATCCATTGCTTTAAATACAAGTTGTGATTAATTTTTACATTCAGTTGAGTTTTGAATTCAATAAATGGTCTTGAGAAGTTTGTCAAATTGTTCTCTCTTTCTTGATATTTGATCTTTCGAATCAACAAGTTCGAGTTTTGTGAAATTTTGTTCTCTTTTATAAGATTCTGCTAAGTCACTGACCAAACCTCGACGAAACAATAAACAAAATTATCTGTCCCCCGGGGCATAGCTCAACTGGTGGATCAATCAACATTGGCTTGCTTCCAACAGTAGGGTGGAGAGTTAGATTCCTGGTGGGAACCTGCGGCCAAAAATTTGGTATGGAGCAATCACTGTGGAGGAGTGTCTCTTGTGTGCAGAAGTGTACATCAATGGGAGGAACTTGTGATTCAATTGAGGCATAACCCGCGATTTACCTCCTCCAAGGTTCTAGGGGCATGGGTCTTGGAGGTCCAGGATTTAGTCTGGTATAAGTTGGGATACCTGGATATCAAAAAAATAATAATAATAATAATAAAAATTAACAAAATTATCTAATTTTCTCGTCTCTGCAGTGGAGGTGTGACCCACCTCATTTTTATTTTTTATTTTTTTTTTATTTGACACCAAGTTGATAAAATACAAATGACACACAATCAGTAAGATGCCCCCAACCCAAAATTATTTGTGTACTTTGATAGGGTAAATTAGTCAAATTCCTTGAAACTTTGAGTTTGTACTTTTAAAAGATTCCAAGGGGCATTTAAGTCCATTTATTTGAAATTCGGCTAGGAGTCCAAAGCTTCAAATATTTGGCCCCATTTTCAAAAGAAAAACTAAAGAGAATAATGTTATATGTATATCATTCCTACTATTTAGATGACATTCCTTTATGTGACGAAAATTTGTGTATGATGTGATAGATGAGTTTAAAATCAAAAGTATAAATGTTGTCATGTGAAACAGTGTAAAAAATTGTGTAAATGAGAATGTAAATATAACATGATTGAACCAAAAAATATTCGTTTGTTTCTATTTCCTCATTTGCATTGTACAAATGTATAGTAAATAGTATAAATGGCATTTGTATCATGAAAGATTATTCTTGTAAAAGATGTAAAAACTTTGACATTTTCAATTCCAATACTAATATAAAATTAACAATAAATGTAAGGTCTGTTTAGCATGGCTTTTGAAGCAAAAGGAGTTTTTGAAATTCAAAAATTGCTTTTAGACTTGTATAGCTAATTTTACGAAAGTGCTTCTGATAGTGAGAAAAGCTTTTAAAGAAAGTTGTCAAATATGACTTCATTTAAAATCACTTTAGGAATAAAAAATATTTTTAAAAATTAATCTTCAAACAAAAATTAAAGTAGTTTATCTTAAAAACTCTTCTACAAGAAATAAAAGTAAAAGCAATGACAAAGCGACTCGTAATATATTTCATCTTCTTATCATGTATTTATATGTAAAATGCATTTCAAAGTATGCCGATAGAAACAAAATATATACAACTCATTTATCGCTATTCAAATTTATTAATCTTGCCTTCAATGAAAATTCGTTAAGATGAAGAATAAATAAAGAAAGGATAAATTATAATCGTCTTAAACAAAAGATGGAATACATACACTTTGTTATGTGTCTTACAAGTTTTTAAGATTTATATCAATAGTTATGTATCTACCTAAATGATTTATGTATATAATCTAAATGATATATATTTTTTAAGATAGAGCAAAAAAACTTATGAGCCAGTTAAGTTTTTGAATAAGCACAATAAATAATAATGCAAAAATACTATTAAATATTTGAATATCATTTTAAAGTACGTTAATAATATTTTTGTACGAAAATCATGATTAAGGGCAAAATTTTCTGAAAAATGAAGCTCCCCATTTGAATCTTATTACATTCCATTACAATTCATTTTCTCTCTTATTTTCAACCACACAATCATCTATAAAATAATATTACACGTAAATCGATGACTTTTCCTTTTTTTTTCTAGCGCTCATTTTTCCAAAAAAAAAAACACTTTTCCACCTATTTTCATTTCCAAAAAATGGCGGCCAAACGGAGGCTAAATGTTAAAAATAAAAATGATATGATGAAAAAAGTTTAAAATATAAATATGATAATGAATAAAAATGAATAGCCTTTAATGTAATTAAAATATAATGTATTTATAAAAAAAAAATGTGACGTAAATACTATCACTCATTAATCTATCATAAAAAAAGTCAACATAGGAAAGACCCCGCAACTGATGCACCTGATTTACCACCTGGCTCTAATTTTTCCTTGGGGTAACTTATTTATTTCGAAAATTAATCTATCTTAAAATTAGTAATTTATGTATACGCAAGAAAAAGAACAATAACACACGTAAATATTTTGAAAATTTAAAAAGCACTTAAACTTATATTTGGCTTATTTCAAACAAGCTATTACCAGTCATTCTCAGTTTTGATTCGTCGAAGTACAATGTAGGATTTTGGGTCCTACAAATTCTTGAAGCAAATGGCTGTGGCATTTTTGACGGTAAGAATAGTGACTAAACATCAATATTTCGGACCGACCTATTTCATGATTTTGACATTTTGCTTTAAGACAATCATTGTTGCTATTATGTTTTTTGCAGCCACAATTTTCATATTTTGTTTAGTATCTCAATGGACTCATCAGGTTTTTACATTAAAGAAAAATACTTAGCTTATAACTTTTATCAATTTTTCAAAATTTTTTATTAAAAACGTACAATTTTTTTTTTTTTTTTGATTTTTAACGACACAAAACAGAACTTAGAGCTGTTCATTACTAGCGACATCTCTCGTAAATGTCCAATTCAAAGTATGACTTTACATAAAGTTCTAATTTTTCCAAAGATTTTGCATCAAATCGGATATCGGAAAAGCCATTTACAAATAATAAAACAAGTTAATTCTATGTTATTAGTTGAAAAATCACAAGTAAATAAAACCATACAGAAAGCTTATTCAAGATTCCCTCTAACTAATCCATTCTATAATGCAAACTACGAACTAATGACATAAATAAAGAAAAATAAAATAAAATCCTATTCGGTCGATTTTAATATATAAATACACCCGACAAGCTAATTTCATTACTTATGATTGGACGGTGCACTATGTGGCCTAAATTTAAGTCAGTCGCTGCTCCACCACCTTTATTTATTTATAATTATATCACTAAAAAGGGACCCACCCCACCTTTTTTTGTCACGATTATAAAGTTCACATGGACATACTATTGACGACTAGACAATTCTAATGTTGTACCACGTTAGTGACAGCTAGGATTTCAAGAATAAGTATACTTGATTTGGTATATGGATGAATATTTTTTGCACATTCCTATCCCATTTTTCCATTTATTCAATTATGCCCTATATCTATTTTATGTATCAATAGTTCCTATATATATTACATAAAATATCAATAATTTCTATGATACAAATTGAAAAAAATATATAACTTATTATAATGATATACGAATTCTTGAAGTAAATCATCAGTCAGTGAATGAAGAACTAGTAAAGCATAGTTATTGATCATGATATTGTCATTGGAAGGTTGGATTGACGTTGCCATCAACAATTACTGGTGACTTTACACAAAAACTCCTATAAGTCTATCAAAACAATTCTTGTTAGTTATTCTTCTTCGTTTATGGCATAAACATAACAAAGGAAGAAAATAATTGAAATTTGAAATTCCTTGTGTTTTATGTTCAAGTCTCATTATCGTAAATTTATTTTATCAGCAGTTAATTTTTCAGTCTATACAAGTTTTATTAACGATAATTAATATAGATGTATTTATACTTCATAATTGTGATTGGAAAAAAAAGAAAAGAATAAATACTCATTAATTTAAAATTGATATAGAAATGTCTAAATTTCTTTCCTTATCTTGTAACAACTACCGGAATAAACTCATAAAATGAAATATTTAATCAATAAACATTAGTATTATTTTTGTGTATTCCTACTATATATATGTGACAAAGAAAGTTCAATGTGTCATCAAAGTACATTGTGTCTTTTCTTTCTTTCTTCTTCTTCTTCAAGCATTTCTTGAACACCTTTGGGATAAAAATGCCAACCATTGCCTTCGGACGAATCGATGATTCATTAAGCGTTGGCTCTTTGAAGGCCTATTTAGCCGAATTCATCTCGACTTTGCTCTTCGTCTTCGCTGGAGTCGGCTCAGCCATTGCTTACAGTTAGTCATCACTTCTTTTTCCTTTTAATAAAGTAAGATTTGATGCAGCACAATTCACACGAATCCCTCTCCCTGTACAAATCATTCAGAGGGAGGAAAATACGCAGAATTCTTCGTTAGATCGGATCTATTAGACTCATTCTTTGGTGTTTCTCACTCTTTCACACACGCTAGGTGTGAGAGATTGATGCATAAAATAAAATTAACCCTAGCCATGCAATGCAGCTTGTGATTATAAATGTTGGTTTCGTATACAGTTCTAATTTGTGGGTATGTTTGATATTCTATTTCGACAGACAAGTTGACATATGATGCGGCTCTCGACCCAGCGGGGCTGGTAGCGGTGGCGGTCTGCCACGGATTTGCTCTGTTTGTGGCGGTTTCGATCGGAGCCAACATCTCCGGTGGCCATGTAAACCCTGCAGTCACCTTTGGTTTGGCTGTTGGTGGCCAAATTACAATTCTCACTGGCCTCTTCTATTGGATTGCTCAACTTTTGGGCTCCATTGTAGCATGCTTCTTGCTCAAATTTGTCACAGGTGGCTTGGTAAGTTGTTGTTCTATAATTATGTTATTCTTGAATTCTTTTCTAACTTCCTTCAAATGTGAGAGAGGGGATAAGATTATGTCTTGATACGTCCCCATCACGTACATTCCTTTTTTTTTTTTTTTTAATCAAAAGTTGACGCGTACACAATTTCCGTAAATAAATAATAAAGATTTTAAATCTCTGACTTTAAAGTTCTAATGCCATTTTGACTAAATCTAAAAGTTCATATCTAATCTAAACATACATTCTCAAAAACTAAAACTGATTAATTGTACTCCTTTTCGACTTTCAACACAAAGAATAGTAAATCTTCACCATGTGTAGTTCATATTCGTTTTGAATAAAAATGCTAACACGTGCACAATTTTCATAAATGAATGACGACAAAATTTGAACTTGGTTCCTCTATGTGTTCTCTACAATTTTGACTCGATCTAAAAGTTTACAACTGATCTAAGCTTACAGTACAAATGAGAATTGTATTCTTTTTCAACTTTCAACACGTTATATTAAAGAATAATCGATCTTGAATGATTTCATAAACAAGTGTCTAATTATGTTTGTAAATTTGATGATTAATTTCTATGTAGGCCATTCCAACTCACAGTATGGCAGCTGGTGTTGGAGCCATTGAAGGAGTTGTGATGGAAATTGTTATCACTTTTGCTTTGGTGTACACAGTTTATGCCACAGCAGTTGACCCAAAGAAGGGCTCATTAGGCACAATTGCCCCCATTGCCATTGGCTTCATTGTTGGGGCCAACATTTTGGCCGCCGGCCCATTCTCCGGTGGCTCAATGAACCCGGCTAGGTCCTTCGGTCCGGCTGTGGCCAGCGGTGACTTTGCCGACAACTGGATTTACTGGGTCGGTCCACTCATCGGTGGTGGTCTGGCTGGACTCGTCTATGCCTATGTGTTCATGGTCCACGAACACGTTCCTCTTGTTAGCGAGTTCTAAATTGTCTTTCGTTTTGCAATTTTCGAATCAAATTTCGAAATCCTTTTTACTTATTCTGTGGCGGTAATAAAGGTGAGGAAAGAAAGTTTTTACTTCTCTTTCCTTTTTCCTTTTTCAGTTTGGTAGTATATCCATTTTCTGGTGTAGTATTGCTCTCCGAAAGGTTTGAATTTATTAAAAGATTTGTCAATTGATGCTTTTGGTACCTAATTTTGATGCTATTTTAATATAAGCAACAAAGGATGCCGTGCCATGGACTGTGCTATTCCATTGTTCAGCTACCTAAACGATCAGTCCAATAGTAATAAATACATGTGTTTGTGTGTCATTGTTAGAACTTGTGGGCAACTTATACAAATATTCCTAAAATTAAGGGATTTCGAAAAATCATATGAAAAATGTTTTGAAAGTAAAAAAAATAATATATAAAGTCAAATTGCATAAAATGAGATAATAATAATCTTGAAAATATATGAAAACTCAACAAAAAGTTAAGGATAAATATATATGTACAAAGGGGGTTTACCGAATGGTGTCTCCCTCTCACAATGTATGACGGGCTCTGCGTGTATTTAAAAATGACGGTCCGTGGTCATTATCCCTGTTGTGAGTAGTAGGTAAAAGATTCGGTAAAAAAATTCGACACGTGTAGCATTGTCCAAAAGGTAAACTTCACACGCAGAAATTTAACATAACAAAACAGTTAAGATTTATTGCAAATTATGAGTATATTTTTAAAAATTTCTACTAAGTTTGGATTTAAATAAAGAAATATCCATATTTTATGCATGAGTGTCGTTAAACTAGAGTTCGTATTCATTATATGTTTGAACAAGTGGGGGATTGTTGGGTATTGTTCAAATCAACATTTAGGAGTGATTTTGGAAGTAATGGAAATGGTTAACCATGAGAAAAACAAGCAAAAATTAAACGAAAACAGAAAAAAAATGTAGTGGCTGAAAAATGGCCTAGACGACTGCCTGTCCTTGTGTTACAATTACAGTGGTCATTTTGTAGATTTGGACAGACACCTAATTTTGTATTGGGCGGCCAACCAAACAAAAATTTGCCCGTTTGGGTCCTGAATTCTGATGTCGTTTTGAAAGGTTTTACACCATTTTGGCTTGATTTTTACACATTTTCAGTGAGTGTAATTCTTTATATATGAGCGATTTTCATAATTGAAAATATATCACAAACACGAATTGATTAAATTACATCCGAAATCTAAGATCAAACCAAATTATTTATAATTTTGTTCCTTAGTTAATTTTTTCAAGTTTTATTTAGTGCTTGTGTGGTAGAGATTTTGATAATTGATTTTTTGACCGTTAGAGATAAAGTGGATCCTACAAGTGAGAAAAGAATTAAAAAATGACGATTGAAATAGTGAAATAACGATCAAAAATTTAATTTTAATTGCCTAAAAATCTGTACCAAACAAGCTCTTACTTGATTCAAAATTGGATCAAGGATTATTTACTCCTACAAGTTTTTTGCCATAAAGCCTTCAAGAACTTACCCCGATGGCGACAAATATCATTTAAGGACAGCGATTCATAATTATGTTCAAGCCTTCCATTTTGGTGATTTTTGTTGCTGGTTTTATTTTCATTCCTGATAAACTTTGTTCAACAATTTATAGAGCTATACATAACTCTAAAATAAATGACTGTGTGATAATCATACAATCAAATATTAAGGAAAATAATCACCCACAATTGAGAATATATAATAGAGATTATTCTTACAATCTTTGAATATCTTCAACACCATTCCTCAAACTCAATACGGTGTAGTGACAATCAAATTGAGTTTGAAAATTATATTGATCCAATCAAATCTTTCTCTTCCAAGCATCAAATGATACTTCAAAATAGCTTGCATGTCGATCAAGCCAAGTGAAGAACTCAAAGTTGGTAAGAATGAAAAAACCCACAATTATAATGAACAAGGACAAAACAAGAACCTCAAATGGTTTTAATAACCGGATAGGTAATGATAGACCATGTTTAATACTGACACTCCAAAATTCATGGGTACTATCATACTACACTTATTGATGAAGGACATACTAATGAAACAGGAACTCTGGCACAAGAGGGGGTTAAAACAACATATGTGATGAGAAAAATTTCAATGAAAAAACAGCATGATAATTTTTGATTTTCTCGGAAACCAACTCTCTAAGAATAAAGCATCAAGAATAGCCAACATAGGGTTGGTAATGGGGCGGGGCGATTGTCCCCATTTATTTTTAAAAGTTAAATTATTCGAATATATTTTATAAATTAATGTTTTTATTATTTATCATATTCCTTAAATAATTTTAAGATATTTCACTCTCATACTTTTGAATCTTTGAAATGATTGTGACTCAACAGTTCATAATTGAATCGTGCATTTTTTTCTTAATGGCGGTCCCTTAATGTTGTAGAACTTATCTTCTTGTTTTTGTCCACTTCGAAATTGAAATAGATTTCACTGTAATCATTGTGACATTTGATTAGTTTAATATGGCGACAAATAGTGTGTTGATAAATATTGCGTTTTGCAGATTTCTTATTAGTTTAGGTTGCTTTTGAATTGGTAACTTGTGTCATGCATAAATTTAGAAGCACTATTGGAGAACGAAATTAAGTAAAATAATGGTGTTATATGAGATGATGATAATAAAAATAAAATTTACATTATTATTAATTAGTTTTTCAAAAATTATTCTTAATTTAGATATTTAATATCAAATCAAATCAAAATCTAAAGAAATTTTGTTTATGTACCACCAACATTTTGGCATTTTTATTTTGCTAATTTATTATTTGTGTTCTTGCCACATGGTTCGGCATGGGTGAGCCATGAGCGCCAGTGTCGGCCAAATATATCGGTACATAACAATAGTTTCCAAAGTCCAAATATAGTCATTTATATAATGCGTGGACTTTGAGTAAAGTGAACTCGTTTTTTATTGGGTAAAAATTGAATAAATAAAATTTTCAACCCTCAATAATAGTCTTCCAAGTTCGAATATAGTCATTTATGTCATGGTTGGAGTCAAAAGTGTACTGTCACGTTGATTTGGTGAAGGTGTGATGAAGGAGTCGAGGCGGTAAGTGGATCGAACCTGTCGAGGCTTGTGAAGATGTGGCTAAATTGTAAAAAAGGTGTTGAGGCGGTGAGTGAATTGAACCTGTCGAGACTTGTGAAGATGGGGCTCATGGCCCACCCATATCGAACCACGTGGCATTTCAGTCGAGACCCCTAAGCCAATGAAGATTGACCAACACCAGCAAACATCTCCTATGACGTGGCCTAGATTCTGTATGCCGAAGTGCAGTAATTGAGGTGGTACCAAAGCCAAAGCCTAGGACAACTAGCATCGCTTCTCCCCAGAGATCCGATCTTTCACAAAAATTCTCCTTGAATGATTGATGGGACACCCACAATAGAGTGCAAGTGTCTTGTCTTGTTAAAGTAGCGACGGCTCTGCCAATTAATAAATGCATAGCAGGCTAGGTGGTCAAACTTGATACCAACAATTTGACATGTAAACTGACAAGATGAGACCACGTGTACTCCTAACCGAGGTTCACAATCTAACTTGTAACACTTTAAATACTCTCCCATGTACCCCATACAAAGGCTAATGCAAGATTCAATACAAGCACCAATATTCTCTCTTTTACTCTCTCACTCTCTTACAACGATAATTCAAGATTACATGCACATTCTACAAATAATGATTGTTAATTATTGTACAATCGTTAGACAAATCTCGCCAGATTCCTAACGTTGTAGTCCCGCGCCTTTGAGTCGCTCCCACGCCCTGAATTTGCTCGTTTCAGATTGTCTACGTGTCTTGGAGTGTTGGACTAGGTTTGTGTGTGAGCGGATGGGTCCGGTATCTGTCAACAACATATTTTGGGGTCAACAGTTCTGATTTTATTTTTTGATTAATTTTACTAATATGTATACCACAAATAGTGGAGAATGTGGAATTTGGGAACAATTTTGGTGATTTTCTAGTAAATGTTCCTTTAAAATCTTTTTATTAAAAATTGATTTTTTTATTATTTTAGGAGAGTATTTGTTTTTATTTTGTTTTGTATTTAGGTAAAAGATACTATTAAATATTTATGCAAGAGGTTAATTTATTCATTTTGTTGGAAATTAAATATTTGAATTTTGACATTGTACCAAAGCATTTTTATGAGAAAATGAAAATTTAAAGATAGTGAGGTAGCGATGGAGCTAAAATTTGATTAATAATGACATAATATCTTTATATAAAGTATAAAAAAAATATTTATAATGTACATACCCTCGATCGACTTCTAATTTGATTGATTAACAAATGAAACCTCTTTTACTAGAAATACTGAAATTATGCACTCTCCTCTATGTAAGAAAAGTCTAACAGAGAATAAACTTAGGCAATCTCCCCTATGCAAAAAAAGTCCAACAGAGAATAAAATCATTAACAAAATTTCACAAATCAAGGAAATCACTAGACAAACTCCAATCGATTGAAGCGTGTAAAATGATTTATTTCCTTCTATATACATGTAAAAGCTCTATTTATTGTACATAATTATCTCTCCCTCAACAAGGAGAATCATGCACAAAGATCTACACTTTTAATATCTTTTTTTATGATATCAAAGTCCATTAAATTCTAACGAGTGAATCGACTTGATTAAGACCCAAAAAATTAAAATACCAATTTCAAGATTGATTTACTCAAACTAGTTACCATCTTACGAGACATGTTAAGGGATAAAATCTCACGTCAAATAAAAATAAAAATATAGACCAATTTATAGGAGTTTGGGAGAGTCCTCTTAACAATGATGACCTTATAAGATGGACTCCCAAACCTTTTAAGATTGAAATTGACTACCACTTCGTCCGAGAAAAAGTTCAACGAGGCCGACTCCGTACTAGGCATATACCATCCAAGCTATAAAACGGCAGTCATCTTTACAAAGCCCTTGGACAGGCCAACATATGACTCTATTCTGCGTAAGTTAAGCTTCATTCCATAACTTAATTTGGGGGAGGGTGTTAGAAATATTGAAATTATGTAATCTCCTCTGTACAAGGAAAGTCTAACAGAGACTGAAATTATACAATATCGTCTATGCAAGGAAAGTCCAGCAGAGATTGAAATGATTAACAAGACTGTAAAAATCAAGGAAATAACTAGAC